AGCAGTGCCTTTTTGAAAATCTGAGATATTCACCTTTTACAATGTCAACTTGTTTTCAGCATATATCATTATCTCTCCACATTAAASTGTTAAAGCAAATGTTTGTACAAGGGACAAAAGGATAAACCAGGGACTTTTGAAATCTATAATCAGAGAATTAGACTTGGGGGGGGGATTCAGGAGACTTATCCACAGCACAGAAATAAACTGGGAGAGGAAGGAGGGAGGAAATGCTGTAAAGCAGCCTCATCTATTTAGGAGAACTTCATTTTAGGTGGCAGATCCTTATCCCTACACAAAATGAACAACAAAAGCTCAGGAGCTGTGTTAAAGCCAGAAGCATGTTACAACAAGTATCCTGCAGTGTACCATTTTTTCATCAAATACTGTACAGGATGTTACAGGCTTTCCTCTCTCTGAGACTAGACAGTTTTGAGTGCCTGTTCTGTTTTGAAGCAACTGTTTACTTCTCAAGAATCTGCTGTGTTTGGGTAAAATTTAGAGACAACATCCAAGGTATACACTGCTCAAAAATGCTTTTGTTGTAAGAACTACATGCCAAATCTAAATCAATACAGATAAGATCCCCTCCTCCAACCCAGATAAAACAGATAGGAGGATAGCTAAATAAATACTGTTGAAAGGGTTGGGAATGTAGAGTGAAGCACTTACCTACCATGTGCAAAGCTTTGAATTTGATCCCCAGCACTATAATAACAACAASAACAACAGCRCATTTTAATGATCTGGGACAGAGAAAGAGGATCCCAGATTAGGAGTAAGTGAATAAGTTTTGCCARTTACCATCTTTATGGAAAAAGAAAGTTGAAGTTATAAACACTCTTTCCCCCCTACAGGTTATATATTTAATGTTAAAATGGCTTCATCATATGGGAGACAAAGAAGAAAGTTTGAATATTCATGTAAACAGGAAGCCATATACACACAGAGCAGAATGGAAGAAATTCAGCATATGCTTTGCAGATACTAAAACAACTATTTGGAATTTGAAGGTGTTAAGTTATTGCTTTTCTTTGCCATAGTGACAATGAATTAAAGATAGAAAATGTATTTATTTGGGAAATTTTTGAGAGCATCAATTTTTGGATATGAAACAAATGAATTCTGAAATTACCAGAACCATGATAAAGTTCAAAAAATTAGGCTAAAAGGAAGCACTAGCAAAAAGGAGGGGGGGCAATAAAAGGAAAGGGAAAGAGAGAGAGAAAAAGAACAAAACACAGAAGAGAAGAGATAGAATATTATAGGCTCTAAGCCTCCTCAGTCTATGTGATCAAACATGAATGGCAGTCAAGCCTGTACCAACTCACCAACCTCAGATACAGGCAAGAAAAAGCCTCCAGCCAACTTAATAACTGCTCCAATGTGCTTCAGCTCCAAACTTAGGTTCAAGGAGAAAAATTCATAATGGGATTGAAAATCCTTTCCCTGACCAGGAATAGATGCTCCTTTGGGGTTCCGTGGGACTAGAGCAGGAATACATGCTCCTCTGGGGTTCCATGGGACAAGAGCAGGAACAGATGCTCCTCTAGGATCCCATGGGACAGCAACATGAAAGACAAACAATTCATAAATTCTCACCACCGGTTTCTTGAGCATGAAAGGCACATGTGTATAGGAATCCCTTGAGACTTTCATGTTTTTCTTYTTAGGTCCCCAACTTGTAAAAATTTCTTCTTTTCTAACTTCTGTTTTCTAATTATTCTGTACCATTAGTCTCACATAGAGAATATATACTGTGTCTAACCCATATAAGTGTAGAATCATGGTAGATAGGCTAAGCAGTTTAAACAACTGTCATCTGATATCAGGCCTGGCACTGTTACCTTGACAGTGATGACATCCACTTAAAAATTTCAAAAAATATCAATATCAGTTACTTCGTGTCTATGATAATGGAGTGAAATAAAAACCATATACTCTTCCATAACCATGTCTGAATATACACAAACACAATAATGCTGTAAAAGAGGTATACTCCTAACACATACAAGTAATTATAGTCATCAAATAAAGCTTTGACCCTACTTCTTTCCCCCACTTCCTGTATAAAAATTATTAAGATACCTAATAATAGATTTAGCTTCTTTTCTTGAAACCATCTATTTCTGAAAGCCACCCCCAAAGCAAGCTAAAATTCAATAACAAGCTCTTCCTCACACACTCTTACTGAGACCACTACCCTTTCATCACAGTGTGTGAAGTCTCCCTTGTCCCMGCAAGTAATATTACCCCTCCTTTTTAATTTAATTTTTCATTATCAGTTCCTGGTGGTTGTTGACAGGACTGGTATTGCTCTGTGTGGGAATATCAGTTGCTCCATGTTATCGCTGACACTTGGCACTCTGTCTCATTGTGTTTTTAGTTTGCATTTCCCTSAACTTTAGAGGTGGCTAAACATGGTTTCAAATGTTTATTTGCCATATGGATCATTTACATATTATYTGTTCWAGTTAAATGCCTATTGAAATATTTTGCTTGTTTTCATTGGATTATTTGTTTTCATATTRAGTTATGAGAATTCTCTTTTTTATTTTATTTTACTATTAATTGACGAAGAGTAATTTTTTATGTTCTGGAAAAATGTCTTCAGTCACTTATGTACTTCACAACTATTTTCTCCCAGGATGTGACTTGTCTTCTTCTTCCCTAAACAGTGTCTTTTAAATAGCATTAGTTCTTATTTTTTTAATGAAGTTCATTTTTTCTTTCTTTTCTAGAAGAGTGCCTTTAGTGTCATGTCTAAGAAAACTT